GTAAACTAGTTATATGAGTTATTTGCTCTAGGTGCCCTAACGCACCTTAATCCGTAGGTGACGACTCTTCCAATTCCCTACCCTCAAAAAGGAGTTGTCCCGGAAATGTCGAAATCCGATTTCGTGAGAAAAGGGGGGCGCGACACCCTCGTCACTACTTCTTCGAGGTTAGACTAGATACTTACTGAGTACATGTTAGTTATGTACCCACGCTACACTTCTGCACTAATCGTGCAGGAACTGAGGCAGGTGCATCTGGTTATCATCCCAGCGCACACTCCTGATTCCACGAGACTTTGCGGTGAGTTGCCTTACGAGCGCGTTCTGCAGTACCCGAAGTCTTTCTTTTGCTTTTACTTTCTGTCTTCTTCATTTCAGACAGTAGTGTAGTATTTTTGTATATTCTACTAGTGGCTCATACACTTGTGACACCAGGTCTTGGAAATTATGCTAGTAGACACTTGGTGATTTTGATTATTTACTTCGCCTCATTTGCTCTTAAATTTATTTATTTCTCATTTTATTAAATTTTCACTTGTTATTTATTGAATAATTAAAAATCAACTATTTCTAATTCCTAAAAGAAACAATCACATGGTTAGTTCACTGTCTGCTTGCCTGGCGGTAACGTTGGGCGCCATCATGGCCTACAGGAGAAATTGGGTCGTGACATCTATCTTGTACAGAGTACTTTTTGTACCACTACTTTGTTCTTTAGTTACAGTATTAAAAGGCATTTGTTTTACGTACATTTCAGGTTAGTTATAAAGATTGACATATGTGAATGTACAAACTGAATGTAAAGTATTATGATGTAACTAAATAGACGATTATTATTAATATTTACAATTTTGGTACCGACATTAATCTAAATGTCGGAATTTTTATACGACATTTTAAATAGTTGTAAAAAATGTCGGAATAAAGCATCTTAATATGACGTTTAATAAATGTCGTCATATCTCTATTTTCTTGTGGTGTAAGGTGATTTCTTTTCATCCATGTGTCTAATTTTACATGATAAAGTTATTCAATCTCTGCGAGCAAATCAGCCCGAACATATATATCATATCTATGAATAATGTGCCTGTTGCTTTAGTAATTTTTATGTGTGCTAGTCAAAAATGATCATGTGTTCGAATCGATTTACATGCAACTCAACTATTTTATGAGTGTCTGCTAGCTTCCACCAGTGTAAATATCGAGTAATGTTGTCCTCCAATAACTAGACAGATAAAGATCACCTTTTTGTCTCTGTTGAGATTTGAATGTGATTTTCCTATAAACTTTTATTCCACTTTATTTGGAGTAACAATTAGGTCACATTTATTTGCTCGTATTTTCTATGGATAAAAAAGCTCAAGAACAAAGCTATATCTTTCTATGAAACATAAAATACAAGATATAAAATAAGTGATCGAAGACGCCTTTTTTTCCAAGGCGGAGTCCATCTCAATAAAGAAATAAATTTTAAAAGGGGATATATGAGACTTGGAGATCCGTTAATGAGATAGGGGCATAATTGGGCTAGTTTGCTAACGTCAAAGGTATTGTTATCTTATTTATAATAGTTCTGGGGCATTTGGACCAAAAGTCAAACAGAGGGTATTTTTCTTCTATTTGCAATAGTTTAGGGTTATTTTTAGCCTTTTTCGTTCTAACCGTATAATATGGACATATCGCAGTCTTTGTCCTTAATAATGGAAGTCCAACGCATTTTGGTCTTTTTCATGGTACACACACGTTGTCCTCTTTTTCATGGTACGTACACATTTTCCTCTTCAAGAACTTGCGTACACAAAAGTATAATCCATCTTAGGAGTTAGATTTGGGTGTAATTCGATGTAATTATACAGTTTGACAAGTTTGTCTACTCAAACAATTACCTGATCAGTATGAGGTGTAATTGGAGAGGTGTAATTGCAATCTCCAATTCTCAAGGGAAGGGGAGAGTGAGAATTGGTGGTAATGTTATTTTTTTAATTTTTTTCCTTTTTGTTTTTGTTTTAATTTATTTTCTTTATAACTTTTTATTTCCATTATTTTAATTATTTTATTTTATATTTACATTTTAATTTCTTTTAAAATTTTATAATATATTTTTCTTTCTGTATTATTTATCTTTTATTTCTCTACCTTTACTTCTTGTGATTTCATGTAATTGCTCGTAATGTTATTTCCTATTTATTTTATTTACTTCATTTAGCATTACTGCGTTATTATTCTAGCTTTTGCAACTACACCTCTTAATATTAGAAATAATGAGTCATTGACAAACTTGGCATATAATGAGTGATGTCATTAAAGTATAATTTCATTTTTGAATGAGCTTATAAGTTATTATGTTTTCTAATTTTAAGTTGTATTGGAACTTATATTTATTACGTTGGAATTCGACACATGTTAAACTATTTTTTTATTTTAAAATTGTGTTATATTTATGGTTCCAATTTACTTATTTTAGTAGTATTGGCTTTCACATTACATGTTGTTCATTTTTTTGTTAGAATTGATAGATTAGTTTTGTCAAACATTTGAATAATATTATGATATTATATTTATAAATATTAATTAATTTTATCAAACATGCAATCCATGATGTTCTTACAAAACGTATGTTTTTAGTTTTTATAATTAATTCAATTAAATATTATCAATTTGGAAAATTATATCAATTATTTTTACAATATTAGTTATAAATATATGATTACTAATTAATATATATTCAAGAAAAAGATATGCATCTTAAATACCAAATCTAATATCATTTATACTTATAAAAAATTATTTATATGCATATATTTATTATATTAACTTTTAAATTTTGATAATTACTTCATTTAAAATTTAATCTAATTGTGTCATTATACTTGTGTAACCAAACAATATGCTTGTAATTACACTATAATTATGTTATGACAAACAAACATGTCGTCGTAATCACAACATTGTGTAATTACTAGATTGTGTAATTACATCAATTCCAATTAGTACATGACTTTCCAAACATATCCTTACAGTGTTCCGCACACGTGGCCACTGTCCTTTGGTTGGAAGTTGGATCAACATCAAGGCTCGTGTGCCAATAATCAGCTAAGTTTTTATAGTTTAGGATGTGTTTGGAAAGTGAAGTGAGAATTGGATTTCATAAGTATAATTACATAAGTTATCTTGTTTAAATTGTTTGGTCAAATAATTACTTGGAATAAGCAATTCTGCTATTCAAATCGAAAAATATAACTGCGCTGTGCATTTGAGAAGTCAAGAATTTGTTAGGACGTCCGAGTAAAAGAATTGTCATGTCAAATTATGGAGCAAATTAACGTAAGGTACAGATTAACGTAAAAGGATTGAAAGAGATGGTTTGAGTGGTAAGTTCTTGAAAGAACATGGGTTTATTTCTACATATAATCATCGAACACTACTCTTAATAGAACAACAAAATCACAAAACTAGTTTTTGTTACAGCAAAGTAACTGAGCTATTATGATTGGATCATAAAAATTATAAATTATTGGAGATTAATGTTAAGGGAGGATAGTGTAGGATAGAGAGACTGTTTCCGAAAGACCCTCGCTCAAAAAGACGAAAATAAACAATAGATCAATGACAGCAACAGAAGCCAAAAAAAATAATATCAGCATCGTAAGAGACAGAAAATAGATGAAAAACCAATAACAATAACCAGTAATAATGCCACAGTACTATGAAGAAATGGAAAAATAGTGTGGACACTACATAAACCATTAACATTCCAAGGCGAAACACCATCAGACTAGCCCCGCCCCAGGTACAAATTATAAAAATGCTCGACTCCCTCCTAACCTTCAACCCTAATGCTCGACCTCTACACCTTTCTATCAAGAGTCATGTCCTCGAAAATTTGAAGTCGGATCATGTCGTGCCTGATCACTTCACCACAATACTTCTTACGCCGCTCTCTCCCGTTTCTCATACTTGTCAATGCCAACCGCTCACACCTCCTAACCGGGGCATCTAGGCTTCTCCTTCACACGTGCCCGAACCATCTAAGTCTCGCTTCCTGCATCTTGTCGTCCATGGGAGTCACGCCACCTTCTCCTGAATATCTTCATTCCTAATCTTATCTAGCCTTGTGAGCCCGCACATCCATCTCAACATCCTCATTTATGCTACTTTCATCTCCTAGAAATGAGAATTCTTAACTACCCAACACTCAGCCCCATACAACATGGTCGGTCTAACCACCGCTCTATAGAACTTACCTTTAAATTTCTATGGCACTCTCTTATCATACAGGACTCCAGATGCTAACCTCAATTTCATATACGGTGCGTGACATCCTCGTCTATCTCCCCACCCCCCTGGATAATTAACCCAAGGTACTTGAAACTTCCTATCTTGGGGATGACTTGTGAGTCAAGCCTCACGTCCATGTGCGCTTCCCCCGACATCGATAAACTTATACTCCAAATATTCTGTCTTAGTCCTACTCACTTGAAACCCTTAGACTCAAGGGTCTGTCTTCAAACCTCGAGTCTCTCATTGACGCCGCCTCACGTCTCATCAATCAAAACAATATCATCAGCGAACAACACACTATAGCACCTCCCCTTGAATATGGTGTGTTAGTGCATCCATCGCCAGGGCAAATAAGAACGAGTTGAGTACAGACCCTTGGTGCAACCCCATAACAACCGGAAAGTGCTCCGAGTCGCTTCCCACAGTCCTAACCCGAGTATTAGCTCCCTCATAAGTAGGCTTTGCAAGTATGAGAATTCTACGTCAGAAAATGAAAAAAGTTTCACCCGTGCAAAAAATTGTCTGCCCATATTTCAAACAATAGACAATCAAAAATTGTCTAAGTGAAACCAAAAAACAAGGATGCCTGCATATGCAACTTCGTTTTTGTTTGTTGTGTGTGGTGGGTGGGGTGGGGGGGGGGGTCCGTTCTTCTCTTTGGATTTTAGATATCATCCTCCACCTCATGCTTTTATATTTTGGATGTCATGCAAAGAATATGAACATAATCCTGTGCTGCCCGTCTTTATAACATACTCATGGTCCTGCTGCAAATGGATAAACTGAAGTATTGTGGAAGGAAAACCGCAATAGCATAGGTACCTAAGTTATTAAATGGACCAACACTTAATGAAAAGAAAACCCATAGTTAATGGTTCGACATTTCATGTACAACTCAAAGTTCAAAGCCAGAATGGAATGGATAGGAAACAACAAATTACATCCTCATATTGGCCTGAACGAGATGACACAGTCCTAGCAACTACTTTATTTCAGGTGAATAGACACGATCCCGACATCAGTGTGATCATTCGCCAACTTTCTGCAAAGAGATTCAAGTAAATCAGAGCAGGTATATTGAGAACATATTATATCAAGTAGTTTGTATAATACAAATAACGACACCATATCAGCAATCAAATGGTCTAAGGTATGAGTAAATACTAGTCCAAATTTCATCAGCTAAAAGTTAGCCAAATAGTTAAAATGATATGAAATTCCTAGCATATTCTATAGTCATTTGCAATAATGGATGGATATGAGGAATAAATACTTATCTCAATATAGGAAATAGAAAGTAAAATTCTTATCTGCTTCAGACAAAGTGTTATGGCAACATTAATAGCTACAATGTTTTCCAATACACTTGCTCAATACCAAAAGAAGTGTACCTCTTCCTTCTTCTCTTTCTTTCCTCCTGTGAAGAGCTTATAACCTCCATAGAAAGCCAAACCCCAACCAGTAAGAGAGACGATCACGAACTGCACTAGATGTCAGTTCATAATCAAACTTCAAGTTTATGATGCACACCATCTCCAAGTGTTGGTGATTAGCATACACTCAATCAAATTCTGATAACACGTTACACCCAAAAGAATATAAAGAGTGATGCAATCAACAATTGCAATGTCTGCACCAACCGGTACTAATAGAGTAATAAATAGCTTTTGGATGCACTTCAACTGCTGATTCTAAACTATCTTCTTTCTTCGGTATAAGATTAGAAAATGCCACCATGTGCGAACAACAACAACACAACTCCACCGAGTATACTGACAGATCAAAGCACAGATAATGGAGATGATACTTACAGAAAAGATAATGGAGATTCGATCAAAACAATTGCAAGTAATTGAAACAATCCCTCAAATTATTACCCTTCAAGCAATATTTATGACATTTGGTTTTTTATATAGTCCCCAGCCATATCCAACATCACATTAAAATACATGACAAATTTCAAGGGTAAAAATGAGAAAAACAATCTCCTAAAAGAAGAAAGTCTCTTTTAAACAAACATTTTTGGCATCACTTCTCATCCCTCCGCCTACAACTTCCTACAGAGAATCTGGCATTAGACATCCCTCCATCAACTGCCTCAATGGCCATCGCAAACTCCTCTCCCTCCCTCCCTCAAGCTGTTTCTGTCCACCATTTTTCAACAAGCATCAACCTCAACTCCAACCCCAAAACATGTAGAAGCTACCAATATTCTCAACTTATTAAAATGCAAAAGTCCCTGCTTCTGTACCGAAGGTTTACGAGCTTTTGAGAAAAACCTGGCAATTTTTTGTGAGATTTTGGAACAATAAGGGGGGGGGGGGGGGGGAGGTTGTGAACACAATGGTTTTATCCCCACTTCTCCAAACCATCTCACACCAGCGCTGAAAAACCTATTCCATCTTGACAGGTTGGATGTTGTGGTAGAATAAGGAGGGTTAGGGCAATGGGAATGGGAAGGGAGCTTACGAAGCTTGAGCCCATAGAGTATTGGACTACTTGGGAGTAGAATGGTGGAGGAACATGGGTTGCATGCGCATTTGTAAGAATTCTGCCTTACTAGTGGACGGAACGCAGAACTATTGCGCAGATGTAGCATTTAATCTTACGAATAGCATCTAACTTCCACTTCACAAGACACAAGCAATGTCATAGTATTACCAGAACTAAGGTTTAAAGCCACCAAATGACATCAAACGCATATAACAAACTCCCTCCGTTCCAATTTATGTGAACCTGTTTGACTGGGTACGGAGTTTAAGAAAAAATGAAGACTTTCGAAATTTGTGGTCCTAAACAAGTCAAAAAGGAGCCCAGAGTATTTGTGTGGTTATAAAAGCTTCTCATTAAGGGTAGAATTGTAAGTTTAAGCTAAATTGTTTCCAAATTTAAAAAGGTTCATTCTTTTTGGAACGGACAAAAAAGGAAATAGGTTCACATAAACTGGAACGGAGGGAGTATTCAACAGTCCAAGGCTCCAAACAACATAAGCATGATGATAAGATCAAAAAGTAACAAGAGAATAAGAGGGTGTTTGGATTGGCTTTTAAGCTGGTCAAATCAACTTTTAAGCTCTTTTTAGCTTTTTTCAGTGTTTGGCAAAATTAAAAAATGCTTAAAATGAGTTTAAAACTGCTTAAAACAAGACAAAAGCAATAAGTTGGGCAACCCCAACTTATTGCTTTTTGGCTTAAAAGTTATTTCTGCTGAAAAGTCACTTTTTTAAGCCAATCCAAACGGGCTCTAAGTCATAAACAGTGAAGAACAGGAAGTTCGATTGTTTCAAGGATAGGCAAGATGATAACATCAAATGCACCAAACAAACCCAAGAAAGCTTAAACAAGTAGAAAAGAAAATTGTAAGCATTCTGAAAAACTCACATGCTCTTCTTTCCATTTTGATGGGCTCATTGGGTCCTGCCAAAAGTTCACCTTTGGAGGACCATGATGGTCTGCATCACAAAGAATAACATTAATGATTTTACTGAATCAGACGAATGCATTCCAAAATGATATTATAAATGGCATTAGAGCTCGCATTGTTTACTTGTGGTAGAACACGACAAACAAAGCCAGGAACTCGATATCAGATTTCTACTCACTTTTTTCCCCATTTTCAAGTCACATTCCAATTTTTCTCAGTTTCAAATTGTTGAAGATAAGGTTCAAAAATATCTTTTCCATCCAATGTGAACTAAGTTAGAATCAGCATACAGGTTAAAAGACTTAACTTGAACAATAACTAATGTACAATGGAGCAAAACAGCTAGAAGGTACAAATAGGCAATTACAACAACAACAACAACATCCCAGTATAATCCCACAAGTGGGGTCTGGGGAGGGTAATATGTACGCAGACCTTACCCCTACCCCGAGGGGCAGAGAGGCTGTTTCCAGGAGACAAGGTACAAATAGGCAATTAAGAGAGTAAAATATAACATAACAACAACTCCTCTTCAAAGCCAATCTGGTTGGCCTCGGCTATATAAAACCTTTATATCCATTCAGATCCATTTAGACCCCTCTGATTCCACTACTCAATATTTGTCGTATAGAAAAACTAGTGGTTCTCTAAGAACAGGAGCTTTCTAGTTGATTAAAGGTTCTCTAGATCTCGCACCTATTGTACATTGTCATACACTCTCTAACCAACTAGAAGAACTCCCGTAAAATATAACATACAACAATAACAACATACCCATGAAATCCGGGGTACTGTGAACGCAGGACGCTATTTCTGATAGACCGTCGGCTCGAAGAAAGCATAATCCCAACAATGATTAAAAGGACAAACAAAGCAGTAACAGTAGCAAGAAAAATAAGATAACCGAAGCGAAGAACTAATGTATAATAATAGAAAACTAAGAACGAAGAAAGTATGGGGGTAATACTAATACTATCGATATGCAGAAGAGAGACGCGTGACTACCAACTAACCTACTACCTTAATCCTCGACCTCCACCCTCCTATCAAGGGTCATGTCCTCAATAAGCTGAAGATGTGTCATGTCCTGCCTAATCATCTCACCAATACTTCTTCGGTCTACCTCTGCCTCTCCCGAGAGCCACCATACAAGACTGAATATTAATTAGAATATCAAAAAATGGTTCACTTAAATCATTTAAAAGAAGTTGTCAATCTTTCATTTTCTTCCATAGCCAAGAACCAAGTCACACTGCATAGAAAAGAACTATTGAGCTAAGCAATAAATTCCATAGAACTTCGGACACTAGAAACTTAAGTGTAATATTTCATATTACACTCTCTTTTTGGATCCTTTCCAAAAAGATTGACACATTACTATTTTTTTACAAGGTAAGAAATGAAACATTATTACATTCAAAACATCTTTAATATATAGATTCCTACTATTGCTTTAATGACATTCTTTTAGGAATGACATGAAAAAATGAAAATGAAAACTTCTAGCAGCACTTTTGGTATATTATACATATTTAGCTTCTGAGTCAAATTCTTTCTTTCTTTCTTAAATTCCACATCAGTCAAATACTAAAACTAAGAGAGTAAAAATTACTCCCTCTGTACCACTTTAAGTGTCTTTTAAGGTTTTAGCATGTGCATTAAGAACAAAGCATTATTAACCAAAATTACTCATATTTTCCCTCACTTTATCACTCCTAGTAATACTTACTCAATTGGTTATCTCTCAAACCACATTAATCTTTCCTCAATTAATACTAACTCAATTAACGTGCCTTCTTCATCAATTCTAACTAACCTTAACGACTCCCAAATTCTTGTATCTTCCCATCTTCATTTTAACATGGGTAAACTTGTTGAACAAATATTTTGTTCCACTAAAGTTTTCATTCACTTTTCAACATAAAATTTAATTAGCGCCAAAATTTCATTCAACTTCCAAAATTTAATTTGACAATTTTATTCACCTTATATTGTACTTAAACTAAAATTTTAATATTTCCCACCAAAAATATCCTACAAAAGAACGCTCAGCTTTTTCAAATGTTGAACCAAACATGGCTACAAAACAAAGTTATCAAATTCCATGATTCAAATAGATATAAACATGTCTGTTGAACCTGGCCTCAATCTTAATTCAACCTACACAACAGTTGAAATATCTTGAGCAAATTACATTGAGTCAGAGAGACAATAGCACACAAACTGCAAGCATGACAGGAAGAATTAGACATAAATACTTGTATGTATAGATCCTATTTGTAACTTGATATTGCTCATATGGCTTAAAACATAAGAACGTGATATCTCTACAACTTATATTTCAGGAGAAAAAATGATTTCCTGTATTGTAAAACCTTTCTGCAATAAAACTTTTATACATATTTAAACATCTTATCCTTTCAAATTTCTTTCCTTTTCACTTAATATTTCTTACGTATTTATTCGGTCCATAATATACAATAATACTCCACAAAAAGTGCCACCAATTTTTCTACAATATTCTGCCTTTTAGTATTACGAATCGCAGCCAATTTCTAACCGTGCATGCCTGTAATTTTTTTGTATCCATTACAATCATTTTTTGTATGCTTCACCTTTTTTTAAAATTATGCGCAAATAGATATAAAGACAATTGCAATGTATATCAATAATTATCACAACTATCGAAGAAATTAGAAAACTTAAGTAATAATGAACATAAAGCAATATTTGAATGCTATTTAAAAAATGTGATGGAAAATTGAAAAAAAGAAAAAAGAGTGACGAGAATGACGGCATCACTGTTTTCAATTTCAACACTGACAATTCAATGCGTTTGAAAACAATCAAAATCTGGTGTCTATAATGATGTATTTAATCAATGGACAAGAAATTGTAGTCGTAAGAGAATTGAGCTTGACTTTGATCACATTTGAGAGATTATTTTTCATGTAGACGGACAAAGCCTTAAATTCTAGCTTGTTCAGTGGATATGCCGAATAGCACTTGGCATAAGCGCTTACAAATAAATAAAAGCTCGTTCGCAATTTGGCATATCAATGCTTAAATGCGGTAATATACAACGTGATCCAATTTTTATTGATATATCTAACATTGTTCATATTGATGAAAAATGGTTCTACATGACAGAACAATCTGGGTATTACCATCAGATGAGATGAGCCACTTCGAAGTTGCAAGAACAAACATTTAATTGGGAGTCATGTTTCGAGTTGTTTTAGTACATCTGAACTTAGATGCACAAGGAAATGAATTGTTCTTTAGAAAAATTAGTTTATTTCTTTTTGTCACACTAGATAATTCAATTTCCTTGTGAAAAAAGGGAATAAATCATTTTTTCTCGAAAACAATTCATCTCCTTATGCATCAAACCTTGGAAGTGCTTAAGCAACTAGAAATATGACTCTTCCAATAAAAAATTTGCTCCTGTAACTTCAAAGTGTCTCATCTTCATCAAGTAGCAAATAATAACTCTAAGATTATTTTGTCATCTAAAACCCGTTCCTCATCAATATGAAAGATGTTTAACATGTCGATGAAAATTGGATCACGTGTTTATTACCTTCAAGCATTGATATGCAAAATTGTAAATAAGATCCTTTTTAATAAGACTTTATAGAACTTGAATACCTTTGTATATCTCCGCATTATAAGTGCTAAACAAAGTATTCAACATATCCACTAAACAAGCTAGATTCTAAATATTAGTTTGTCTATGAAAAGAGACCAACCGAAAGTGATCAAAGTCAAGCTCAATTCTATTACGATCACATTTTTTTACTTTTCAATTAAATAGTTCATTATGTACACCATTTTCTTTAGAATGGCATCGGTATATTATATTAGAGCAAAAGTTGTCATGTAGCCATATTTACAATTCGAAAAGCCACGTTAGAGTATTCTTTGCTATCTTACAAGGATTTTATCTTGTCAAGTAAAAAACTCTGCGTTATCTACAAAACATTCTTTACGCTAAAAGTGAAACAAGAAAAATATAGTCCAGCTTGACTTTTTAAGTGGGATTGCAGCTTTCTTAAAAGCATCTTGCATTTCTCTTTCAAAATTGTTCACCAAATACATGCATGCACCGTTGTCCACCATATCTTCCGATTCAAACACCGAACATTGTAATTCCAACAACTCAAGAAGTCACAAGTAGACTTGGGCACCTTTTTAGATCTTCAAAATAGGAACAAGCCCACGTTAAAGGTAATGCAAAAAAATATGGATATGATTGCTTTTGTGGTGTTGAACTGCATTCTCAAAAAAGACATCTGGAACATAAATTGAAACCCCTTCCAAAATGAGATTTTCCTTCCATTTCCAACCTTAATACTTGTGTTAGCTGCCTAAGGTTCCCAAAACATCCATAATGGATTTTCAAACCCCAACCCCTTAAGGGATGTAAACTTTTTTAGTGCACTATTAGCCATCTTGTTTATATTTATCACATATTACTCTACTCCATAAAGTAATCCATAGTATATCTCTGTAGCCATTTCATAAGACGACTCTTAATATGTGCTTTCAGGTTCCGGTTGTCTAATCCACCTTCCTTTTTAGTGGTACCAAGAGTGTTACCACTGTCTTATCTCTAGTACTTGCCAAATAAAGTTCCTCCTCATTGAGTCAATACTTTTTCCCACCTTGGCTGGTAAAGGGAATAAGAACATAACATTGGTTGGCAATGCATCTAGCACATTACCCACCAAAATACCATTCCCTATGATGAAAGATATTAACTCATCCACCTTGCCAATCTTTTTTCACACCTTTCCAAAATCACATCCAAAACATTCTTAAAGTTTTTTGCGTCAAGAGACAATCCCAAATAAGCAGTTGGCAATGAACCCACCTTGCAATCAAGGATAGTTGCTAAGACATGATTACCTGAATACTTCTTTGACAAGAGAAAAGCATACTCTTTCTCCAATTCACATGTAAGAGAAACAACTTGAAAAGTGTCCAAGATCAATCTCAAGTCCCTTACTTGAGCAACACCGGCTTCACAAAAAGCCAAAAAATCATCAGCATTCAGGAGGTGAGAGATCTTTAGATTGTTACTATTAACGCCTTCCATCCGACCATTTCCCCCTTTTCAACCTTCAATATGTTATTGAACTCTCCATAGCTATTATATAAAAGAAAGCAGCCAATAGGTTACCTTGCCACAAACCTCTATCAGAGGGAACCTTCTGGACAACCATTGACAAGAATAACTTATACAAAAGCATATAAAATTAATCTATTGGCCATACACCATTTCAATAGGATCCACGGGACTTGACCTTTAAGTCTGGTGTCCACACATTCATTGGCAGCATCAAAAATCGGATGACCCTAGATGAAAGCCATGTGATGTCCATCCACAAGTTTATCCACCACTTTCTTGAGCCTCTTAGCAAATAACTTGGAAATAATCATATATACATTGTCTATCAAACTGATTGGCCATACGCCTTTTCAATAGGATCCACGGGACTTGACCTTTAAGTCTGGTGTCCACACATTCATTGGCAGCATCAAAAATCGGACGACCCTAGATGAAAGTCATGTGATGTTCATCCACAAGTTTATCCACCACTTTCTTGAGCCTCTTAGCAAATAACTTGGAAATAATCTTATATACATTGTCTATCGGACTGATTGGTCTGGAACCCCACGCATCATTATTTTTGGGATCATAGCCACATATGAAGCATAAATTCGTGAAGAATCCCTTATTGTGAAAATTCTGCACTATCTTCATGAAATCAACAACATACCCAATATATTCTCACAAGTGGGGTTTGGGGAGAGTAGTGTGCAAGTAGACCTTACCCTTACCTAGAGAGGCTGTTTCCGAAAGACCCTCGACTTAGGTAAGCATAGTAATCAGTAGTAAAGAAATACAATATGTAAAAACGAAAAATTATGGGAAGGAAACATAACCAATAGCGAGAGTCAAACAAAACGAACCAGAAGCAATATCAAGTAATAATATGCAAAGAATAAACCACAACTAGCATAATACTAAAGCTACTAGTAAGAAAAGTACGCTATATTACCCACTAACCTTCTACCCAAATATTCGACCTCCACAACTTTCTATCAAGAGTCATGTCCTTAAGTTGCAGAAGCGCTATATCATGCCTAATCACCTCTTGCCCAATAGTTTTTATGCCTCCCTCTACCCCTCCCTAGACCCCCATGTGCAACATCTCACACCTCCTTACTGGGGCCTCCGGACATCTCCTCTTTACATGCCCGCACCATCTCGCCTCACTTTCCGCAGCTTATCCTCCATAAGGGCCACCCCCACCTTATCTCAAATAACCACATTCCTGATCTTGTTTTTTCTCGTATGCGCACACACCCATCTAAATATCTTCATGAGATCATCTTTCAAAATACCCCAACATTTGTGGAAGAAACCCATAAAAACCAATCTGGACCAGGAGCTTTATCAAAGGCACACATTTTTAAACTCTCAAAGACGTCATGTTCATCGAACTCTTTCTGCATCCACTCTATCTCCTCGTCTGTGATGCAAGAACAACCCAACAAGTTATGTTCATGTCTCTAATTTTCAGTTTCAACATATGATTGCTAATAGAAGGATCTATATTCCTTCTTTATCTCCTGTGTATCAGCTATTGTTTCACCTTGGATCTCCAGCTTATCAGTATGGTTGATCCTCTGAATTGCACGTTCATCTTGACTTAAGCAAATGGAGATATACAGCATATTTTTATTGTTTCCAAATGTGTTGAACTGTACGTTCATCATTACTTAAGGTTTCTAATTTCTTAATTGATGGTTGTGATAATTTCTCATTTACATTGCTATCGTCTATATCCATTAAATAAAATAGGAATAAAAGAAAAGAAAAGAAAAATGATGATAATATATACTAAAAATTACATGAATATTAGAGTAAAATTAAAATGTCCTGCGCTGTTAGAAATTGGCTGCAATTCACAACACTAAAAGGCATAATGCTATAAAAAATTAATAACAAAGTTTACTGGAATAATATTGTATATATGGACAAGATAAAAAATAAACGAGTAAAAAATATTAAGTGAAAAGGAAAACATTTTAAAGGCACAACATTTTTAAAAAATATGCACGCAACGAGTTGCAATAAGGTTTTACAACAAAAAAAATGAATTTTTTCCTCTTAAAATATAGGTTGCAAGAATGTCAAGTTCTATCTTATATTTGAAGTCAAATGACAGCGTCAAGTTACAAGAGTATTGGCGTCTAATTCTTCCTATGATGCTTGCAGTCCTACTTCCATTTGTGCATCATCTTTTGTACTTGGCTCAACATTTAGATCGAATAAAAAGTAAAAAGATGTCTCAACCATTGAGTAGGTTGAATTGAGATGGAGGTCAGGTTCAACATGCAGATTCATCTATTTGAATTGATTTGTCTAGTAGCCATGTTTAGTTCAATATTTATAAAAGTTAAGCCTTCTTTTATAAGATATTTTCGTTGAAAATGTTAAACCTTTTCTATAAGATGAATAAATTGAATTTTGAATAATGAATAAAAATTTGGCAATTTTAAGTTAGAAAGTGAACGAAAATTTTGGTAGAACAAAACTTTGCTTCAACAAATTTGTCCATGTTAAAATGACAATGGAGAAGGTAATTTTGGAAGGAGAGTTAGAATTGATGAAAAGGCAGTTAATCAGCAAGTATTAATATGGAAAAGATTAATAAGCTTAAAAAATAATTAATCGAGTGAGTATTAGGCCTCATTTGTTTGCACTTAATGGAGGTCTGAATCTTGATCATTCAGATTTCAGACATTAAGTGCGTTTATTTTTAAAGTCTGAATCTTAATTATTCAGATCTTAATCACTAAGTGCGTTTGTTTTTTTTACTTCACAACCACTTAATGAGTCTGAATAGGTCTATATGATTAAGATCTATAACAGAGACTTAATTTCATTAAGATACTATCACATTTCATTATTAACTGCCGTCACCGCCTACCATTATCAACTACCACCATGCCGCTGCCACCACCATACTCAACCACCCCCACCACCACCATCATCTTCAATCATAGCCGCCACCATTATCGACCATCACCACCCACTATTCCCACCACTCCGACCACCATCATTCTCACCCAAAATCAACACTCATCCACCTCAACTACCAGAACTGACCACCCTATCACCACCAACCACAACCGGCACTGCCCATCTTTATAACCTACCACAACCCACCCACCACCTTCCTCAATCACAACTATTACCACCACCCGCCATTATTAACTATCACCACCACCAATCATAATCGGCACCACTACCAATCACTACTAGTTACTAGCATGAACCACCATCATCAACCAAAACTACCACCAACCACCGCCTCTAGTCGGCATTCACCCGTTAGCCATCACTACCAACAACTATCATATTTTAAAAAACTATATATTTTATTGATAGAATATTAGATTAGTTAGTATTTCATTTGAATTTTATGTTTATTAATTTTCAAATAAAGATAAGTTTTATACATTCAGATGTCAAAAATCAAACAGTCTTAATTATTTATTATACACATCTTAATATATTCAGATGTGTATTCAGATTTAGATGTCTTAATTTTAATACACATCTTGATATTCAGATGTGTAATCAGATTCAGACGTCGTAATCTTAAAAAAAAACAAATGAGGCCTTAGTAGGCGTAATAAAGTGAGAGTAAATGCATGTGTAATTTAATATATTATACTATCATGGCCGAAGCTACACTTTGGTAAGGGTGGTCAATTGACCATCCTTTGTCGGAAAATTACACTGCATATTTAGGTAACATATCAGGTTTTAGAGGTACATAATATATACTGAACACCCTTTGTCAGAATTTTTTTACTTCTTTTAAGTTTGAACAACCTTGAGGAAATTTCTGGCTTCGCCACTGTATACTATTGTACTTAAAGTTTTTTAATGGATATGCTTTTGCTTATAACACTTAGGAATCGTTCTATTTGTATTGCAACAGCTTTATTGCCCACCACATACTACTCTCTCTGAAGCCAACTTTTGTTTTTTTTACAGGGGAGCAAAATTAAAAGAGAAACTAATTGAAATATTAAAGTTAAAAGAGAAAAAAAATTAATTGTTATGACATATAATACAAAATACCAATTATTAAAAAAAAGGTAGATCCTAACAAATAAAGAAAACTTCAGTTTATGCTTTGAACGAATTCATAATCAAATTTAGCTTTAAATTTGATATTATTTTGATTATAGTAGAATGCTAAAGGGGAAAATTTAATTAAAATATCACAATATAAAAATATACAAGATATGGCGGAAAGTATTTGGAATAGGTTTTGAGGGATTTGAGGGACAATTATGTCTTTAACCATGTTTATGCAAGTATTAAAAACCCTTAGTTTGCTATGTATTAGTTATACATAGGATAATACCTAATAGGATGTACGTACTAATTATACATAGGTTGACAAAATACCAATCAATAGATTCATAAAACACAAAGTTAATGCTTGCATTGCTTTTTCAAATACCTCCTACCAAGCGAACCCTAAAACAGATGGAGAATTAATCACTTTTGACCTTTAAATAGCAAGGATAAAACTTGGAAAAAAATAATTCTGCCATTGTTTTCTAAAGCACATATATGTTGAAATTTTATTTTTGGGCTAATAGAACACTTAAAATGGAATGGAACGGAGGGAATATGAATTCTCCTTTACTAAATTGACAAGTCAAGCCAAGTGCGTCTGATAAAACAAAATTCTACTACGAACGAAACAAAACGCCAACATTGAATTAAGCCCAATATTAAATGTTAAAGTTAGAAATTTAGACAAAATTTATCAATCAGTCAACTACGCTAAAGCTTCTCTATATCAATTCCACTCCTCACGCTAAATTCGTTCTCATACAATTTAAAGAAAAATCTAGTGAAGAGGAAAATTTACCACCGCCGCCAGCCAGACCGCGCCGCTGGATAAGGAGGGCGCCTTGGCTCGTACTGTTAACTGATTTGTAAGCGGAGAGCCGAGAGAGAGTTGCGGATTGGCGCGCCGCCGCCGTCCACGCTGCCATATTTTAGTGTTTTAACGATCGAGTTGCACAGAATTTCTCGGTGATTGTGGAGATAAAAAGTTGCACAGTGATGCAAGTTACCAGAAATGCATACGATAAATGGCTTTTTCCGATTGTTATTGAATAATTAGCATCCTGGGCCTTGGGCCTAGATTTGTTTTAGGAACTCGGCCTAACCCAATATAAAGTAGAAGAATTAAGAGGAATTTTCAGAAATGGTAATTGTTTATTGCCTATTAACTTCCTACTAGTATAGTGCCCGCGCGATGCGCGGAAAATACGGAGAAAAAATATAATAAATTATTAACTTACTTGCTTAACCACCTCATATTTTTATAACTTGATCAATCATAAAATTTAAACCATTTGATCGACGAAAGTTTATAATACGGCAAGTAAGATAGGAAAAATTATTTTATGTAGCCTAAATTGCCGTAACATCTTGTGTTATGTGCAATGAGATTCAAATTTAACTTAACTTACTATAATTATGTGATTTAGTTATGTATGCATTATAATGATGGCTAAGTAACAGAAGTGTATGTGTAATCACATATAATGTATTTAATAATTTTTTATAAACACTTGGTGCTATTACCGTTATATACATAGAGTGTAAAGTATCAATAACATTAAGTGCTTTAATCCCTCTTGCTTCTTCCTCCAAAGAAAGCATGCATTAAATCCTAGAACATATGCCAAGGAAGATGGTCATCGCAAGACTTCTATCAAAATGGTTCTCTTACCTTGTGATAGACTTTGAAGAAGCCCATCATATCCCTAAAAACACCAATTTCCTCCGTAGATAAACTTAACATCTTAGCTTTTTAGAGTATTTTTTGTTAAGATTGCAAATTTTTCCTTTTCCTATAATTGAATATATAAATAAAGCTCTTTGAGGAGGAAAAAAGTAGCGGAATGACTTGGATACAGTGGACTTTCCTTAGAGGCGTTCTTCTAGGAACCGCAATCTTCTTTGGATAAGAATAATAAACTACCTGATTTCCACTACAAACTACATGCTTCCTTGGATTAAATTCAGTTTTTAGAACTCGAAGCCCGAGAAAAAGCCGAAAGCAATCAAAAATTAAATAAAATTACATTTATTTATTTTTCCATGTGAGTTCAACATGAAAACTATATATAGCTTCATCAATAATATACCAAATCAACCGCTCATCCCCAGTTGATATAGAGAGAAAGACATTATGAAATCACATTTATAGTTTAGTAGCAAGTAAAATTTGGCTCAACTTGGAGATTAGTATTTTAAGAAACTTGAAGAATTACTCGCTGCAAATAATTTTTCTATATGTAATATTTATGTCATATATCAAATAGAATTCTAATTGGATATAGGAACTAATAAGTTCCAGAAATCTGTAGCCTAAAAAAAGTTATATTCTCGGCATGCCATAATCTTCTTCATATAAATGACCCACATTGAAATGCCATATCTCATTTTTTAATCTACATCACTTTTCACAATTTTTTGTTTAGTAGGTGCAACTTCCTATCATGCCAAGTTGATGCATAAACAATTTCAATATTCAAAGACTTACTAAAAAAATAAAGACCCAAAAGGCTAAAACATTTATCTGCATTATTGCATGATGACTAACATCATGTTCAGAACCACACAATTCTTTAATTCTCTCTTCCATCACCCAATGGATATCAATAGGACTGCTATAAAAGCAATTTTCTGCCTCTTAAGTAGAGTTTTATGCCCATTTGTCCATTCACTCAATTTTTTGCTAATATAAACTGATAAATTAGGAGATAGAAGCATATATGAGCACCTATTAAACTGGTTTGTTATAGTCCTTTGGGTTCACAAATTATGTGACACTAAAATTTTTTGACAGGAGGATGACTAACGACAGAAATAAAGGTCAATAGATAGTAAATTTGAAAATTGTAATGTTCACGTAAGAGCCCATAAATTTGGATATTTTACCTAGCTCAAATCTGTTTGCATTCACATCAGCACCAATAATTCTTGAAGCCCCTGCAATGGTTGGTTTAATAAGGAACATTTCATATATTACGTGTGAATACGATCTACCCAATAATGAAATCTCTATTAAATCAAAGGTACTTATATAGTTAGCGAATAATTTTTTGTTGAATATATTATTTATTATATTAACCAATATTTTATTAGAGCTAACATTGTCTTCTTTGGAACATAATCAAACGCACCATGCCTAAATGTATTTTGGAACTTACCACATATAACATTGTCGTTTCATCTTGATTGGCTTGAAATTGTTAGAACAAAAGCTCAATTTCTGAATTTTGTATACTGCTTGTTTGCATAGTTTGCTCTTTTTGTGGAAACTATGCTGAATTTATATCTCTCTTAGGTGAGAATTATAGTATTGAAAATGCTAAGAATATTGGCAAAAGAATAAAGTAATGAGATCTCCAAAAGAAATAGTGGCTGCCCAAAAGTTTTCATGGTAAAATATGAGATCCGCAAGTATGTTTTTGTCACTATTAACTTTCTTCGTTCTTTTATCTTATAGCTATACCAGAAAATGATCATAATTCACAAAGCAAATAAGCATCGGACAAATAAAAATATGTGCACTTATAAAAGATGGATCTATTTTTTAGTAACTAACTTTTCTTTTTTGTCAGGT